TACTCTACTTCGCTCAGAGTCTCGACCGAGGACTTGCAAAAAGATGGTAGGCACCTGATGTTGTTACACATCGACATCTGCAGGATTTGAACCTACGCGGGGAGACCCCAACAGATGGAACGGATAAGGTTCGAATCTGTCGCCTTAACCACTTGGCTAAGATGCCTTACCGGTTTTTTTCTAGTAAGTAAATATAATCTGATGTATCATGCACACTTGGACGAGGACTCGGAGTTGAAGCCGCCCGAAGCAAGCCCGAAGCATCCGGTCTGTTCACTCGCATTACCTATACCAATCTCTGTGAATTCAGAGAGCAGCATTCATTTCCTATGCCTGATGACAATACTCCCGCCTTCATGACTCCCAGGATGGAAGAAAGCTACATCTCCGTCCCGCCTCGGGCGAACACACACCCAACTCCTCGTCGGCACCGTCTACACACCGTGTTGCCTATCATGCATCACGATTAGCAACGCTTCAACCTGAATATGTCACTCCAGGTACATACCACTCGTACCGATAGGCCCGACAGCCATCCGACATACCCTCGCCAATTGTCATGTCTCTCCTCGTGGCAACAGATCCACGCATCCCAAGCGCGCGCACAATTGTCATGTCCAAGCGCTCTCCCTCCGCCTCTCTTTCCATCATGGGAGCAAAGTGTGCAAACTGATGGATTTCATCTCGAGGGAAGGAAGATGTCGAAGCGTTCGGGCGGACGGAGCTGCAGTTGTGGCCCTGATCAGGCGCGCATAACAAAAAGACTGGGAAAATGCGCTCGGGGTCGAGGCACGGGGCTTTATTGTACTGTGCGGTACGGGCCTGTGCCGTCTGAGCGTTCGCGCTTCGTATCGTCAGCATCGGCACGTTCTTCCGGCGCCGATGGTCATAGTAGAGATACAGGCAAGTATAAAACTCGCTTGCCAAGCATCTTCATCTCCCAACCAAAAAGTCTCCCGCCTCCCGCGCCACCCCCTACCTCTCCGCGTCACCTCCCTCCTCACTCAAACTACTATCCAATGGACGCCTTCACGACCATCCTCTCCATCATTGCCCCGGCCGCGGACATCCCGCGCCCGGATGACGCGCCCGTTGACGCCGAGTCTACGAAGAGCTCCAACGGCGGTGGATGCACGATCTCCAGGAGTCTGCAGATTGATGCGCCTGTCGATGCTGAGAGCACGAAGAGCTCGAATGGTGGGGGTTGTGTTATCGCATAGAATGGGTACGTTTTGCTTTCGCTCTACCTTACAATTAGATTCAGTGGTGCTCATGCATTTTTGTTTCGCAGCGACGTACCATCCCGCGTTCTTGCGAACACCCGCGCTACCTACTCTATCTTCCTTCTCCTTCTGGGATCGACGCTCGGCTTCTCCTTCCACTCATGTATCCGGTTCTCAGGACACTTTTGTCGCGTCTGTTGAAGTCTTGAAACTTGTTGTAACATCAGCCTTCTGACTTGTTGTGTGTACATCAGCCTGTATCCTTCGTTCACCTTGTTGTACACCTTTTTGTATCTCGTACGTTACCGTCGTGTGGTCGAGCATTGACCAGGAATCTCAAAGCGATACCTCTCCATAATTGCTTTTGTGTGATGCGTCGCGGGATCGAGGAGCATTTGATGTAAGGACTCAAGCACGCACTGATGAGCGCTCGAAACCCGTGCTTCTGCTATGTGAGAGCAGTCACTGCGGGAACGGATGGAATCGTAAGCTCTGTATTCAATCCGCGTCTAGTCAATTGGCGCAGACCTGGCGCATCCCACCCAGTTGCATGCAATACCGAGACAACCAAGCGCTGTAAGTAAGACTGAATCCGCCAAATATTTGAGATCGATTGTTATCTGCGCAAGATCACAGCGCAGAAAGATCGACTATCAGAGCAACTGGAGGATCCGGGAACGACCCCACACTACAACAGATCCGGGCAGCCGTATAGGCCACTTGGGCGTGAGCGGGAGAACAAGTTGCAAGCGCTCGCGCCTCCATCGATCCAGAAATAGCCAGGGTTAAGAATGGGTGCAGGGTACAAACTGACCGCAGTCGCCGAGCTCACAAAGCACTGGCAAACTCATCCGTACGAGTAGCATGAGCGGTAGCATTATTTTCTGAACCCCGTTTCTGAAGGAGAGACGGTGCGCAGTTGAAGGGAGGAAGGACGTGGTTGGAGACAAGAGTAGAACCGAGTAGAACGGCGCTTGATTTGGGAATTTCAATTGCTGCGCGCGTGGAACGTTGCATCCGTTCGCGGAGCCAAGCACCGCAGCTGCTCTCTTCTTTCTCTACCTCAAACCACCACCACCCTTTCTCCACTTCCCCTAGTATCCTTTCTACACACCCGAATGTGCGTCGCCGAATAATGTCATGTCGAGGGGAAAGTGCTGACGATTATAACAGATTATGCGTTTGATACCGTATTTAGCCGTCGGTGCCAGCCTCGGTGCGCCCCTATCCCCAATAATTATTCACGCTGAAAACTGACACCCGATACAGCAAGTGCGGCACCGCTAAGCATCATCGTATCGACGACCGAAGTCGGCTCGTTCCGCCTCGGCAAGCCCGTTCACGAAGTCAAGACAAATGGTGCTCTGATCCTCCCGCCCACCGGCATGCGCAAGGCATGCAACAAGATGCAAGGCGGTATGGCCAAGCTCTTCGCGCTCGCGGGTCTCGGCCCGGTCATGGCGCACGACATGAAGCTCGGGCCCGAGCACCACGTCGCGCACCTCCCGGGCGAGAAGCAGTTCTGGGATCCCGCCATGCCGCCGCACCACCTTGAGTGGCACCACAATGGCGAGCACCGCGCGGAGGAGCTCAAAGCAGTGACTGTCGATGAGAACGGCGAGCCGCCGAGGGCGCACCATCGCCACATGCACCATGGCGGCCATTTCCGCCACATGCATCACCGCGGGTCGTTCATCCGCCGTATCCACCGTGCGCTCATGTCGCTGGGCCCATGGGAAGGCCGTGCGATCGCATTCGTCCTCGGTACGTTGCATCTCAGATCCTATCATATCATGCGCCCATCGAATTAGAAACTGACGCCCGACTGTGTTTATTTATAGGATGCGGCATCGGCGTTCTCCTTCGCATGATCTGGGTCATGTTTGTCGTCTTTAAGCGCGTGTTCAGCGGCAGCGAGACGGATGAGAGGAGTGAGGATGAGGCGGAGTACGAGCGCGTTGCTGTTCTGCTGCCTATGGAGATGGAGAGCGAGGAGCTGTTCGCTGCGCCGCCGGAGTACTACGCCGACGAGAAGACGCCGGTTGTTGAGGAGAAGAAGGACGACAAGAACTAGATCCAGTTCTACCTGCCTCTGCAACTTCTCTGCCATCTACAGCACTTTCCCAGACCGGACTCTTCTCGACCTCGCCTCGTTTGACCTGTGGCTCTTTTGATGTATGGATTCACCTGATGTCTGTCTGTCGCGTCGTTTACATTCACACTTGTCACTCTTCGCCGCCCTCGGACAATCACACTCCTTACTCCTTTGACTTCTCATGTGTACATGTACTATTATATGACCTCACGGGGTGCAGGTTGTGTTTCGAAGCGACCTGCCGCTCTGACGTAGAATACCTTGATTTATTCTTTGGTCTGGGATTAGACGCGTGGGTTGTGTGGCCGGTTGTCGAGATGTTGAGGACGTCCTTGAGCCTTCGGTGACGGAGGAGAGCCAAGCAGCCTTTCTCCTCGACCATCATGACGATGCCTCAGGCCTCAACGATGTAATCCCAGTGCACCTATGAACAATACAAGGACCATTCTTCACTGCTATCTCTGCGCCGCCCAATGACGAGATCCGCCTCTCTACCGCACGCGGTTATCCGTCCTCCCTTTCAAGGCCGCGCTTAGACATCCTGCACATCCTTTCCTCGAACTACCGACACAATATGATCGAAAGCTATCTGACTGAGCGCCGTGTCCACGGGTGACGCGCGGCGCAGCGCTGGCGCCACCGACAAGGCGGGCTGCGGCGAAGGCAACCTTCTGGTGCGTTTGCGGCGCAACACTGTCCCTCACATATGTGGAGGCTGCGGCAATGCATTGTATGGGGCTTCTCGCTCAGCGCAGGGCAGAAGACATGTCTGTACGACGCAGTACTGGTCTTGGGTCGCGATGACTCCCCATTTCAATTGACTTGACGAGCTCAGGGAAGATCCACAGCCGACTGCGACTGCCTGGCGATGTGGATGTATCGCAGACTATCGACTTTGCGAGCGCTATATAACGTCGCACGTTCGATGTCCAAGCGCCCAAGCTCTTCAAGTACAACAGCTTCTTACTCCTTCAGTATAGCGCAGGTCATACTCGAACATGGACACTCCAATCGTTCCCGTGACGCCACCCTCTTTCTTTCCGGTGTCAAACCCCACGCACGCATTCTGGACGCACGGCTCCCCCGACGCCAACCCTCTGGCCCGCGAAGGTAGCACTGGCGATCTTCATAAGAATGTGGATGTCGCTATCATAGGCAGCGGTATCACGGGCGTCTCGATCGCCTATCATCTTGCGAACTTGGTGAAGGCGAAGAACGGGCAGTCGAAGGAGCCGCTCAAGGTCGCGATCTTCGAGGCCAGGGACTTCTGTTCTGGAGCTACTGGTGAGCTCTCGTTGTACGTATCGGCATAGGCAAAAGGACTGACCGTTGGTCAGGTAGGAACGGCGGACACCTCACATCCAAAGGTCCCTACGAGTTTGCGTACGACCTCGAACGCTTCGGTATAGCGGACGCCATCCGTCAAGTACAGATCGAGGACTATACCGTCTCCGAGGTCCAAAAAGTCATACGCGAGCATGGCCTTGAGGCGAAGGTCGACTTTCAGGAGTATGGGAGGGTGACGGTACTCGGGAGTGAGGAAGAGTATGAGGAGCTGAGGGCGTCGGTTGAGGCTGCGAAGAAAGCGAAGGTGGATGTAAGGGAGCATGTGTTCCTTGATAAGGAGGAGATGCTGAAGGTACGGCGCGGTTGAAGTTGATCGTGCGTCTTGGTCGTATGCTGAGACGATGAGCAGCGGTACGGCATTGAAGAGCGCGGGTTCGTCCAGCCAGGGTCGAACCTCTGGCCGCTCAAACTCGTCACGGAGCTCTACACCATCGCTCAAAACATCACGCCAAATTTGTCCCTCACGCTCCACACGCACACTCCAGTGCACTCTGTCGTCGCCACGGGGTCCGCCGGGCGCTGGAACCTATCGACCCCACGTGGATCAGTAACAGCAACGCGAGTCGTACACGCAACAAACGCATACCTCCCGTACCTCATCCCACACATGTCCTCGCAGATCGTCCCAACGCGTTCCCAACTCATCGCCTTCCGCGCCAACGCAGACAGGCCCATCCCTCATCCAGCCATAGCCGTCAACAACGAGTCGGATTACTGGTTCCCTCGACCGGCTGAGCCCGGGGAGGGGCAGGTGATCATCGCGGGAGGATGTAGACGCTATGCGGGCCCGCCGTACGCGAGTGGGACGGTCGATGATGGAGAGGTGGATGGGAAGGTTGGGACGGCGCTAAGAAGGTTGCTGCCTGAGGTGTTCCCTGATGCGTTCGATACGGAGGAGGTTGAGGCTGAGATGGAGTGGGTACGTCTTGTCTTTCGTTCGTAGAGCTTGGAGACGGTGGACTGATGAGAGTTCATGTAGACGGGCATCATGGGCTATCCGTCGACAGGCTGTCCATTCGTTGGACCACTCCTCGACGAGTCTGGTACGCTGGTGAAAGGCCAATACATTTGCGGCGCGTATCGAGGCCATGGTATGCCTCGCGCGTATGCTTGGTACGTGCATCCTGTGCTTACGAGGTTGATTCCGAGTACTGATGCACGAGTAGTGCGGAGGCTGTGGCGAGAATGGTGGCTGGTGATATTGGCGCGACGGGGAAGTGGGAACTTCCGGAGTGGTTGCCACGGTGCTATTTGACAGTGCTGCCGCCTGGGGCTCCCCAGGAGAAGATCAGGGAGTAGTAGACGGTAGCGGCGGAGATGTTTGCGCGTGAAGAAGACAAGATTGTCTATCTGTACGAGAAATACTCAGTCCATTGAGACGCATCGGCAACTTCTAAGGATGAATGACGTACTTGAATTGGGGTTGTAAGTACATCCTCGGTTCGGCATCGTTTACAGAAGGGGTTTCTGTTCATGCGAGCCTTGAGCGAGAATACCCAATAGTAGATACGGCTTTGCGTCATCATCGCAGCCGAATCGCTCGCGATGTCCGAGGTGCACCAAGACGGCGGTAGCGTGCTTAGAGCTCAGAATTGCCGTGGTTTGAGAGCGGCGTATCTCATCGGGACCGGCCCGTACAAGGATTCTGTCAACCCTTGGGCCTAGGAGACCTTGTGCGGAGATGTTACGGCTTGTTGCGCGGCCTTCTGGGCCTGCGGCGAGGTTGCTGACGTTCCGGTCGGCGCACATGGCCAAGAGGAACTCAGAATTGCAGAAGCATTGTATAGGCAGCGGATTGAACGATCTCCGACATCTATACGGCGGTGAGGTAAGAAGCCACAACGTCACCGTCGTGTCTCCCAGCGCAATCCTGACAAGGAAGGAGGATCGGCTTTGGGCGCTTGTCTAGCCACCCTCGGCGAATCAAGTCCCTGGGGACGGGGGCATTGCATTCGCGGGACGGACAGGGTCCTCCAAAGCCGGCGCGAGCAGCCGACTTTCGTACACAGTCTTTGCTCGTGTGCTCAGAGGAGGGAGGGCTGTGTGAGACGTATGGCCGGACCGCCAACGTATCGCGCCGAGTCCTTGAGAAGCGGCAATACGATCAAGGCCATGTACGAGGGAATCATAGCGACATCAGGGGATGTTGTTCACATCGCCGATGGTATCATTAGCAGCACAATGACAAGTGCGAAAGACATGACATTGCTGGTGAAGAGGCTGTAAGGCGGTGGTGAAGGTAGGAGACAGCTTCGAGCCTCGACTCAAGCTCGCGCGTGTTGAGCGCGTTCAGTTCCCACCCCGCGTTCCGGTCTGTCCGCGCTTTCTCTCAGAACCACCATGTGTTGAACACGTTCTCCAAGTATCTCCGTTGTATACAAACCCGAACTATACCGCGTTCTTCTACTACCATTGTAACTGCATGCACCTGCCTTGGATGGCAATACGTGCTTCTAATGAGACTTGGACCTGAACTCCGAGCCGTTCTGCGGATGCTACTCGCAAGAGCTACTACTCGGTATCCTGTCATATCGCACGCCAACTACTTCCGCTAACGCCGCGTGAGGCTGAAGTCTGGAGATACTCTTTCGGGAAGGATGTACGTGAGTGTGCTCTCAGACTTACAGCGCGTCTTCATGAATTGACATCACACGCAGGCGCATCGAGTGAGGATAGCATGATACGCCAGCGCCTTCAGCGGCGTTATCGCGAGCTTCAGGACTACTAGCATCTTTTCGGTGGGGGAGCATCAGACTATGGTGCAGCAGTGCTGGATGCGCTCAGGGAAGGCGAGTGAACGGACAACTCCGCTGAGCGTCCCGCAGCGCTACTTTCTCAAACATGGTCATAAAGGGGCCTGTGCTCCGCGCGAAATATTACCGTGATGCGCAGCAGATATCAACAGCGCCCTTTGTGTACGTCTTCTAGTGCGTTGAACGAGGGCAGGCTGGCCCGTCAGGGCGTCCTCGCTGAAAAGTCGGACGGTGCCACTCGTTTCACTCTGCTCCGGATCCCGATCTTATGTTAACAGTACGATCCGCTCGTGTGACGGACTTTCGACCAGGTCGAGGAGTATGCGAGACAGGCTCTGGCAACTGGTGACTGGTGCCTGCAATATTTGTTGAATTGTGCGTACGCCGTGCGTCCGTTATTTCTCCGTGTCTGAATGATGCTAACAACGCATATTGTCCATCCAGGGCTTGCGTAGTTTCAATCGTGGCTCCGAAAGGCAGGTAAATTGGGGATACTGGTAGCCCAAAGACTTGATGGGCCACAGGAAGCATGCACTGACACGTCCCTACACAGGCGCTCTCATCCCATTGGTCTGCATGACGCCATTAGAAGCAGCACATATCAAAGAAGCCTGGTCGGGCGCAAACCATCTCGTTATCTCAGCGCACCATCTCGACGCTGCGTTCGATGGCAGCTTCTGTATACAGAAACAGCCTCAGGTATGGCGAGCGTCGGTCACCAGTCGCGCCACCATCGCTACCGGCGCATCTCGATCAATCCAGCGTCGGCGTCCCCGATTCAATGAAAAGCTTTCATCTCCGTCAAATTCCCGGGGTCACCTCCGACGGTGTCTTGCATGTCTGGTCGAGGCGAAGAGAGCAACGAAGGATCGCAAGCGCGACGACGTTGAGGACTTAAGTGTGGACTAATGATCCAATCTCTTGCTTCTTCAATCATACGATGCTCCTGGGAGCCGGGCTCTGACACCTTCACAGAGCTTCTCAGGACAAGATAGGTCTATGTCGTTTGCTTTCCCTCCACGTTCCAAAGGGGAAACGTCGGTATTCGACCCTTTCTCGACATTCGCGCCATCACACACTGGCGGGATCTTGTACCTTCCAGCGCTGGGCACGAGAACGGACCATGCGGCGGGGTAAATACCCTTACATACAGGCGGTGGAGCATACCGAAGGGCGCTAACTTGACACAACGTGCATAGGATCACTTCGGAGATGTTGATACACCGTCTGCAAGTACGCTTGTCTAGAATCGGACCTTACCTGCAATCGAGTGGTCGGTCTTCTACGGCGCCTTGTTGCCGTCTCCTGGAGATCTGGCCAATGTCGCGTTCTCACCGCGCAGCGGTCCAGAGAGTAGGACGAACTCTGGCGCAACTCCGGGGTAATCCCTACCTCTGGCGCTGAGATTCGCCGCATTAGTGGCTCCGTCCCCTCGACCATCTACATAAGGACCGGCTACCCCACGGGGATCTTCTCGACGTTGTCCATCTTCCTAACGTCGTCCTTCACATCGTTCATAACATGGCACCAGCAGCGGCCGCAGGCTCTGGCAATCTGAACGCGTACGAGCACCTCCTCGATCATACAAGGCCATGGTACAAGAAGCACCGCTTGATCCTCCTGAACCTATGGATCGTACTCTTCCTGATTACGTCTTCCACCAATGGTTATGATGGTGCGTAGTGTACGCTTATTTACCGCCAATATGTCTAACATCCCTTTTCAGGCAGCATGATGAGTACGTGCATACAAGAATATATCCTCGTTTTAGTTACTTATCGGATCGTTCAGACGGACTTCAGAGTCTCCCGCAATGGACTCGCTTCTTCCACAATCCCGAAGGCTCCATTGTGTGTACCACACTGCCTGTATCACTTCGGAATGCGCTGAAGTCTTTCGCAGCTCGGTCTTCTCAATGCTATCCAGGTCAGCGGCGACGTGAAGTTGATTATGTCACTGGTGCTGACTTTTATTAGAACATCGGATCCCTGTCCGCGTATCCCTTCGCGCCCTATGTTGCGGATGGTCTTGGTCGTCGAGCTGCAATCGGTATATTCCTATCATTCTCTGGGTGCTATGTGCCCTGACCGTCATCCAGGTCTCGGTGCGCTGATTATGATTGGCGGTACTGTCGTTCAAACGGCGTCGCAGGTGAGCTCACCAACCCATGCTCCTGAACAAAGCTCAACCCCACTAGTCCACGGGCATGTTCATCGGTGCCCGCTTCATGATCGGCTTTGGCGTCACATTCGCAGCCGCCGCCTCGCCACTTCTGGTTACCGAGCTTGCATACCCGTCCCACCGTGGCAAGGCAACCTCGATGTACAACACCCTCTGGTATCTCGGCAGCATCATCGCAGCCTGGACAACCTATGGTACCTTCAAGGTTCAGTCGACATGGGCATGGCGTATTCCGTCTGCGCTTCAGGGTCTTCCCTCGGTCATCCAGATCTTCTTCATCTGGTTTGCTCCTGAGTCTCCTCGTTGGCTTGTGTACCGCGGCCGGTACGTGATTTGAGCGCGCATATTTGTCATATCTCTGACCAGACTTACAGTGAGGCTGAGGCACGCCGCACCCTGGCGTACTACCACGCAGACGGTAATGAGCAAGACCCCCTTGTCGAGTTCGAGATGGAGGAGATCACGACCGCCGTCCGCCTCGACCGTGAGGTATCTAAGAACGTCGGCTGGGTTTCGCTCTTCAAGACGCCCGGTAACCGTCGCCGCATGCGCATCATCATTGCCATCGCTTTCTTCAGTCAGTGGAGCGGCAACGGTCTCGTCTCGTTCTACCTGAACAAGGTGTTCGACGCTATCAACAGTGCGTGTACTGCTCTTCTGTGAGTGGTGCTATATTGCTTACATCCTAGCCAGTCACGGACCCCACGACTCAACTTCTTATCGTAAGTGACCATGCACTAGCGCTAGTGCTCATGCTCAATCACCCGTAGAATGGCATCCTGAACATCTGGAACTTCTTTATCGCGATTGGTGCTGGCTTTGCCGTCGACCGCGTCGGTCGCCGCAAGCTGTTCATCACGTCCACGATCGGTACGTGATCCTAGATATTGGACTTTGAAGCGTGCCTCATTATCCTTCCAGGAATGTTTATCTGGTGGACGTGCCAGACCATCTGTTTCGCCCTTGTTCAGGAGCGCAATGACACGCAAGCCGCCCACGCCGTCATCGCTTTCATCTGTGTGTATAAGGAACATATTGATGAACGACTCTTTCACTAATCCTGATCATCAGTCCTCTTCTACGCTTTCTACGACCTTGCCTTTACGCCTCTCATCGTCTCCTACACTGTCGAGATTTTGCCCTACCCCATTCGGTCCGTCTTCATTCTGGGTCAGCTTGCGAGTCCTACTGACGTCAATGTAGTGCGAAGGGATTCACAGTGTTCAACTTTACGATCTCGTTGTCTCTTATCTTCAACCAGTGAGCAAGCATGGTGCACCCGCTGGCTGCATGGCTTAACGTTCTTCTTAGATACGTCAACCCTGTCGCCCTGAAAGCCATTGGATGGAAGTACTACGTGAGTTTTGTCCTCTTGGTCGTTGTTCGCTGCGCTGATGTGCCTTCTGTAGATCGTCTACATCTGCTGGATCGGCTTCGAGGCCGTCTACGTTTACTTGTTTGTCATCGAGACGCGTGGCAGAACCCTCGGTTTGTTCTGTTCATCAGCTTTTATACACAGTGTACTGACCTATTCGCAGAAGAGACCGCCGCGTTGTTCGATGGAGACGAGGCCGCCAAAGAGCTCGCCCATGGAGCGGCGCTCGCCGCGGTCGGCGGCCCCTCCTCGCCAGACGAGAAGGCAGACAGCATTGAGGACATGCACGTCAACGATCTTAAGGCACATGCGTAGTAGTAACCCTTGGTTTGCAGGAGAGACCACGAGCGCAGTGCGTAGCGTGGCGTTTCATCGGTACGATATTGTAGCAACGGCTGTGAGTTTCCTGTCTGGCTCATGGATAGTGTCAATCACATTTCGTCTCCGGTTCATAGGCTCATGCATGTACAATACAAGTCATTGTTTGATCGAGGCACACTGCTCTATTCTACTATACGGGACGTGCGTGGGAAGAACGGACCTGAACGGACCTAAACGGACCTAAGTAAATGAGATTGACGGCATTGGTTATCATCTCGAGTTTTGTCCCAACCGCCATGACCGGCTTACTTCCCATCCCTCTCGATAAAGGACCTGAGGTTTCACGGGCTCTTCGAAGCTCTACAAATGGACTTCCGGCGTCTCTACCTGTCCATAATTCTACGAAGTCATTCTGGACACACTCGTCTCCAGGCTGCAATCCCCTGGCGAATGAGGGCAGCGAGGGCGCTCTTACCAGTACTACCGACGTCTGCATCATCGGAAGCGGCATTACTGGAGTGTCCATCGTGTATCACATGAGTAGGCTGCTGCATGAAAGCGGCAAACGCCCTCGTATCACTATCGTTGAGGCTCGAGAGTTTTGTACGCCATATATCGATGCGTGCACAAGACGCGTATATTAATGGAATTGCAGGCTCCGGAGCCACAGGTGAGGCTCTCATGATGCGACGGCCTGCTGATACTCACGGAATTGCATACAAGGTCGTAATGGCGGCCACCTCACAGCTCACAACTTCCTTGACTTCGCATCTGACTGGAAGAGCCATGGGCTTGAGGATGCAAAGCGGGCTTTCGAGATAGAACAGTACACCGCAAGAGAGATCTTCCGACTCGTACAAGAGCATTCACTTGAGCAGGCAGTTGACTACGTAGCCGGAGGCAGAACCGTGCCTGCTTTCTCTGAACATGAACTAGAAGCTATGAAGACTAACTACGAAGCGGCGAAAGCTGCTGGCCTCGATGTCTCTGCGATAGAGTGGCTTTCTAAAGAGAAAGTTGAGAAGGTACGTCTACACCTTCAAAATCAAGTGATATCGCTTACGCCGAGAGATACAGAAGTACGGCACCTCATATTCGGCCGTGCGCCAGCCTGGATGCAACTTATGGCCGCTCAAACTTGTAACAGCACTTTACCGCATAGCGCAGAGCACCGAGAAGCTGGATGTTGGCCTGCACACCCAGACGCCAGTCACACGCATTGACGGAGGTCCTGGCGACTGGATAGTGCAAACCCCGCGCGGAGCCATCTCATCGCCAATCGTTATCCACGCAACAAACGGTTATGCCTCTCGTCTTATCCCTCATCTTGCTGGATCGCATGGCATTGTACCTGTGCGCGGACAAGTACTAGCACTACGCGCTGGCACAGGACTGGACGTACTCACGCGCTCATCTTGGCTCGCGAATGATGGCTTCGAGTACTGGTTTCCTCGCCCTGTTGAGAATGAAGAAGAGCGGCCCGTCGTTATCTTGGGCGGTGGTCGCGAGTCGGCGGGGCCAACGTTCGAAACGTTCGAGTGCGACGACTCTGTGATCAGCCCTATCATAAGCTCTACGCTGAGAAAGTTTCTGCCTGCCGTCTTCCCTGATAGGCACAAGGAAGGGGATGACTCGAACGTACTCATGGAATGGGTATGGTTCTTTGATTCATTCTCCGTTTGACGTGGTAGTAACTGAATGATAGACCGGCATTATGGGCCATACTAGCAGCGGTGATCCTTTGGTATGTCATGGGAACCATATGCCTCCATGCCGCGGACTGATTCGGCGCCAGGTCGGACCGGTGATGGACAGCGATGGAGGAGACAAGACATATGCGGGTCAATACATATGTGCCGGCTACACAGGACATGGCATGCCAAGGGCATACGCATGGTGGGACATTGTTATGATGTCGTATGGCCTGGTTACTTACTCGTAAGGTGATCTAGTGCGGAAGCCATCACGCGTATGGTGATTGCAAAAATGAACGGGTCAGACGAGTGGGAGGTCCCGTCGTGGCTTCCACGCCACTACCTCACCTCAGCGCGGCCAGGGGATGGCCTGATAGCTTCGTGAGATGGATGGACGAGAGGTCCATCAAGAACTGTGCATGTAGAGGAACGTATACAAGATATGCATACAGGATGTCTCTTGTAGATCAGTGTAAGTGCACGCGTTTCGTTCGAAGCTTTGACGATCTAGTAGCTTTCCGAGCGCCGGAGTCTGAGAACCGGGCGCAATTGATGGACTGTACTTATCTGGAGACCGGATATCTGCGTCAATGCCTACAAAGCAGCACAGGTACACACTAGGTACGATCGCGGCGCGGCAGTGCTAGGAATGTTGGTTTGGCGATGATGGCCGCGGAATCTCACGTCGGCGAGATGCAGTCTCAGATGACTCGACTTGCCGTCATTCAAAACGAGCTATAGGAGCAAGGACACACCAGTCTCGCCTGCAGTGTATGTGATGATACCAAGAAGTAAGATTGCGTTTTTCGACGCGATAATGCAAGCAGACAAAGTATGATCCTCCAAGCTTCAACTACAGAACTCGGACCAGCATACTTAAACATTTTGTGCCGCAGACGCTCGTCGAGCCACGGCGGCATATGCCGCAAGTTATATCCGTTGTTGTCTGAATTGTCGCGGTGGTGCCATGTCCCAGTGATGCTGATGATCGCGGTTATGGTCCGAATCGAGGTACAGCTGGGACGCGGCTAACCCGACGGTCTTCAACATCCCACGCGCACGGCATAACTCTTGCCAACGGATTTGAGACGTGTCACACCGTCGATGTCTTGTCCCGCTTGCATTGACGACCCCATGCACTTCTATGGCATACGACGCCATAACCATTTGATCCTACCCAGGACCTGCCAATCCACGCGGTTACTACAGTAAGTTTGTAGCATGCATCATGTCCATCGAATGGTGCTTTGTTCTCGTTGGGGAAACCCAAGTCTCTATAGCACTCCGCATGTTGATTTCAGGTTCAGGTCGAACAGATTCGAAGATAGCAATGGAGTTATTACCGGACGAAGGGGTCATCAGCGGGTCAGTACACTCTACAGGCACTGGCATCTGTACGCGCAGTATAGGCAAGGGATGATACCGATCTTCTGTTAAGCGACCACAATGAGGATTCAATTCTCAAGACGCGCAGTCAAGGAACGTGCCACATACTGGTACACGATGCATGGCAAAGCGGCAAGCGCCGACTCTCAGATTCGTGGCGGTGTCTCTGCGTTTCATTCTAAGCTTTGACAGAGCTAGCCGATGGAGACCGCGGGCCACGAACCTTGCACTTAATGGCGATACGCTATCAAAGAGCTCATCTCCTGAACCTGTATCAGTGCTAACATTGACGCCGGAGATACGACTGTGCCACTAGGACGATCGCGGTGCCACTTCCCCCTCCGGCTCATCGCTTTTCGAAGATCCAGCTGTAGTCGCACATCCACCGTCGAAATGCCTGCGGGCGTATCTCCGTCAGCTTGGTCAGGTCATCGGTGACTCTGATATAGGCAAAACGCTACTCAGGGCACTCGTTTCTCGAGCTCAAGGAATGACGAGCCCACAACACGGGATGGCGGGTATCCGTTCTAGTCGTTCATACAGCGGTATACACGGCCCCGTTGTTCATCTTACTCCAAGCGAACCATGGCCAGTCGTTCCGCCATGGGTTATGTTGTGGAATGTTTCATTACAGCACCATCGTGATAGTCAAACGGGGCAGACGTGAGGTAAGTGAGCGGGGAAGAGAGTTCGATGGATTCAGATGCGGAAGAGCGACCGAAGGTCTACAATATCAGAGCGGAGGGTACAGTATCGAGACAACAAACAGACCACGAGCATACATACCAAATAATGTGATTAACCGATGACACGCTTACTCTTCCCAGTCCACCTCCCAGCCTTTGCGAACTTCGTCGTCTTGATCTCGCTTTCGCGAAGAGCGTGCTCCACCGCCGCGCGGCAGTACCACCGGCTTCCAGTAATACTGCTTATACGCGCGCTTGCCTGCACGCGCCACACGTCCACCGAGCGCAGAGTGCAATCCGGAACGCTCCTTGCTCCAATCCGCATCAGGGATGTAAAAGAAGGTTGGCGGTATGGCGTCGCCCGAGGACGGAACGAGCTCGAAGATGCCGCGCGCAGCTCCCCAGAGCAGAACCTCTTCCACATTGCCCTGTGTAAGCGTGGCCGAATCTTGCTCGTTTGTGGCGGCCGCTGAACGCGTGGATGAGGCCGTGGATCCGGCAATCGCGGGGTAAGACGCTCGGATCGCGTCGTACAATGCGGTGGCGGGCAACGAGGTTGCCCGAGATAACGCGAACGCCTCAACGATAAGACTGGGTAACGCGGGGTGAGGGCACTGCTTATCGGATCGGTCGTCGATGTGCATGGGCGCGTCGGCCTTCATCCTGCTGCTTCCTTTCGCAGGCTTCGAGGCGCGCGTAGCATTCCGCGTTCCCCGGGAAGTCTTTCCGCGCGCATGTCGTGGCGCAGGGGCGGGTGCAGGCTCGGGCTCTTCGAAATCGCTCTCGACCGCGTTCTCGACTTGCATGGAAACGGGCTCGACGTCTGATTCCGGTTCCGGACTCGAGTCCGGAATGACACGACGAGCTCGCTTTCTGCGCGGCGGGGATTCGGGAGGGGGCGTAGACTGCTTGCGCTTCGTGTGCACAGGGCGAACAATCTCCACTTCGCGCTTATTCGGCTGGACGGGAGAAGACGCCCGCGATTTCTCGGACTGGACTGGAGAGCTCGGACGTGACGTCGGAGGTGACGAGAGCGGGGACATGACCATAGGTTCGGGAGATAGAGACAGGTCGCGTGCTGGGAGCTCAAATTGCGGAAGGTCGAGATCTGCAGGCAGAGGCTCCGGGTCCATTGTCGGCGAGGGAGGAATAGAGGATAGCCGCGAGAGCGGGGAGGACATCTGATCGAAGATGTCAGTTTACAGTCAGCGGACATGACGCTCGTGATGCGTACACGCGAGAGGACGCTCTCATCGGCGACGTCAATGTCCGCCGCATCTTCGTCCTCCTCCTCTTCGGGTAGCGGCGAGGAGGGTGGGAGCGGGGACAGTTGTTGTAAAGGCGATGAAGTTGGGCTATCAGCCTCCTCCGGAGCCGCCGGGCTCTGAGATGCAACACTGTTTTGACGTGAACATGCAACCCATTCGCTTGATTGTAGACACATACATTTCGATGAACGGCGAGGGTGTGCGTGGAATCTCCGCCACCCGGGCTTCAGTTGGAACATCGATAAGCGCCCGCCGGTCCAGCTGCTCTTCGACGGCAGAAATCCGGTGCGGCGTTGATCGCCTCGAGGCTTCCTTCTCGACTTTGATTCGAGAGATCGCAGGCGTGGTACGCGATTGCAGCACACTATGCGGACTCGGAGACTCCGGGCGCGGCGGAGGCGGAGGAACGGCTGTAACAAGAGGAGAGGGCCCAACTCGAGGGAAAGACAGCGAAAGTAAGACGGCAGCGACGTCTTCATCGCGAGGATCTGGTTTTGTGATCGGCGTAGTAGGACGAGCATAAGATCGCAGAAAAGATTCTCTTTGAGGTGAAGATGTGACAACATCTATGTATGCATTTTCGTCGACAGGCGAGAGTGAAGGGGAAGGAGCACGAGATGACGAAGGTGCCGTGGCATCGTCACTAGTCAAAGCTGGCTCAGGCTCGTAGTCGTCCTCAAGTTCATCTTCCAGATCTAGATCGTCTGTATGTCCCACCGCGGTGGCCGGTTTGTGCGCTGCATAGGCAGGATGCACAGGTCGAACATGAGAGTCTTCTGACCCAGGAGAGCGGTGTAAACTGCCAATCCTCAACGCTTTCATTGTTGGCGAAGGTGGAGGCGAGTACGGCTCAGAAAGCCGTCGAATCCTGGCAGGTACAGTCGACATGGAAAGCAGGCGATGGCGGTTCGGGACTAAAGACTCTGTTGACGCGCGCTGCAATTTCGCGCCTCTCAACAAACTCCCACGGCAATCCAATCAACAAGAGTGACAGCACGTGAAATGACGCGTGTCACGCACTTTCAGTTCTATCGCTCATACGATTTACGGAGGACTGAGCTGCTTCTCACCTGACAATAACACAGTTGTTATGAGCTGTATAGTGCTTAAACGCTCATCAGAATGTTGCGGACGAAGGATAACTCTTGCAAGAGCAGCCAATAAATGTGACGCCAAACATGGTCGTAACGCGTTACCGACGCGTTCCGGCCGACTGTCCAGGACTGAGTCAGACTGTCCACGCGACATCGGCGTCCCGCGTCCGCTCCGAACTTCGATGTTGGTGACGTCGACCAGGAGGTCTTTTATCGCTCTTGCCTCTCGCTGTCAGCTCAAGAGCCAGCCGACCAGATCTTCTGTACTGTCGTTTACCGCCCATCGTAACCTATCGAGCTCGGCCGCCATCAAGATGCCGCGTACCGCTGAGACATCCTCGTTCAAGGTGAGGGTGTGATCTTGCTGGCCCGCTTCTCTGCACGCAACTAATCAACCGACCAGTTCAATCATACGATGCTGAGTGGGTCTAGCTAGGCTGTAACTGCTGTGAGCCTCCTCTGATCACCGAAGGGCAGGAGTGAAAGATCCCAAGGCATCTATCAAGTTCTATACCGAGGTCTTAGGTAATGCCACTGTCGCACGAAGTCGAGTTCGTAGGACTGACAAGAGTCAGGAATGACACTCGTTGACGAGCACCCGAGCGATGATTTTACGCTCTACTTCCTTGCCTTCGATCAGCACGATAACGTCGACGATGCCGAACGCAAGTCGACCCGTCTACAGCGCGAAGGTAACGCATAATCCCCATGCCTTCTTCGTCAACTCATGGTCCTGTTGCAAGGCATCTTGGAGTTGACTCATAACCATGGCACGGAGGATTTAGCCGAAACGCCGTACCACAACGGCAATTCCGACCCGAGAGGCTTCGGCCACATCGCTATTACAGTGGACGATGTTGAAGCTGCCTGCGATCGCTTCGAAAAACTCGGTGTGCAGTTTAAGAAACGCCCTCAGGACGGCAAGATGAGGCACATCGCCTTTATCCTTGACCCGTGAGTGTCTCTGCCATGATGTGGAGCGTCTGTCAGATATCTGAACTTGACCCCAAAGTGATAACTACTGGATTGAAGTAGTAAGTGTCAAAAACCTTGCATAGCGGCGAACAGCGCAATATTGACTATCCATGTAGCTTCCCAATCAGCCGAAGCAGTATTAACGCCATTTCTCTCTGCGTAAACGAAAACTTGTAAGGTAATAGGCCCGGAAGCAGTCGAATAAAGTCAATATTGAATTGCGATTCACCCATCTCTCTTGATCGCATAGTTGTACGGACCCGTACGTGGTGATCATGAGCCAGTTGCACGTATGATCAACTTCCACTTTCACCTTTTACATCCTGCCGGCGATCATCTGACACCGTCTTCTTATCTCAGACGCTTCGAAAGCCGCAATTGGCAATCCTTTCCACCGAAGTATGTTGCTTCTCTAGATCCTATGATCTCCACTGACCTTTCTCCACAGCTGCGCGTTCATCCAGCGCCTCGGAGCACGACGGGTCGTCCCGCGACTCAATTGCCGGCAGTGTCTTCTCAAGTCTTCCATACGCGCTGTCAAGCTACATTTCCATCCTGCTGTCGCCGAACCAATGCACACCTTGTTCTCTTACTGGTGATGTACGCGGCCACCATCAACGCCGGGACGTCTTCAATGACGGACGTTTTGCACACATATCCGAGTTCAGGTCTCGATAGGTGTATGTTGTGACGTTGATATGTTGGCTCTAGAGCGGTCTGGCTCAGTCTCTATACAACTGAGTTGTCGCTCTCGTATACCCTTTTCGCGCATGCCCGCCTTACCCACGGCTGCCTGACGCCACATCGAAACCAGCTAGAACCCCCGAAGCAAGTTGGAGGGCACATGCGGTTCCAAAGCCTGACAGACGTCTGTGGCGCACGGCCGAGTGTCACTGAGTGTTCTATCCACAGCTTCACGGGTATGTCGTACTCTATCTGCTGAACCGAATTAATTGACATACAAAAAACTTCAGGTCGACATTCGATCTTCTTTCTGAGACACCGGTGTTCTTCGCCACGGCTGTAAACAACATATCAGCGAGTGGCTCCACTCACTGCCCTGAACACAGCCAAAGCGCGAAAGCGTCTAAGCAGGTATTCTTCGCCCTTTCACGTGCTGGTTCATCTGCGCTGACTCGTCGTCGATCGCAGTACGCCTGGGTGATACAGTAGTCTTTGCCCAGACTTGTAGAGATGCTACAAAGGCACCAATGCGTTTCTCGCGGTCTCACACGGCACAAATAGCCAGCCGGATCATAACTTCTACGTAGTCCAACTCTCGGACTGGATCGACGTCTCGCGCGGATAGCTCATCTCTTGAACGAGATACGAGAGTACAACACTCAGCATGACTCGGCCTGTACCGGCGATCTTTGATCCTTTCGGAGGTAAGATATTTTACCGTGTTTCCAAGCTCAGATGTTGCCGAAAGCCGTCATGCGCTGTAACGTGCAATATGTGCATGCAATTCAGACTTTGTTCCCTTGCACAGCGTTCACATGTCCCCTTGGCGTCCGCGGCAGTCTCTACCTGGAGGTTGGACATCGTGCCATTATTGTAAGGCGTTCCAACTGCGGTAAGATCAGGGACGGTACAGGTGTAAGGGCTGAATGAGTAGTGGCACCGGCGCTTGGATGTTGTGGAATGCAATAAACTCGCAGCACGTATCCTTATCCGCAAACGGAGGCTTCGAGGCTTTGGGATCACAATTGTAGGACCCTGAACTCGACACGTCGACTCGCTTCAACATCTCGAAATGACCAACAGTGCTTATTTTCCCTTGCTGGTGCGGCGATCTCGGCGGGAGGCACGTCGATAGCCACGACGCGCACCAGTGCGGCCCCGACGACAAAACGTGATGGCGGCTATGCAGCGCACGCGTGGGTCGGGCACCCGACGCCCACTGTGGCTACAGCACACCGCCGGCGCTCATGACTGCGACGCGATCAAACTCGATTCCGCGCTAATTCCGAAACACCCATCTGCGCAAAACGATCCTAGTCCGCGTTGTAGGTATTGAGCGTGTGCGAGGCACTGCAAGTTAGAGATGTGTGAGTTTGTCGATGTTGTCCCGGACCGGTCACGAATTGCTGTGGTCGGGGAGCACCGGTCTTTGCACGTAGGAGATTGTCGATCATCTATAAAGACTGAACTCAATGCAAGTGACTCGCCATCCTCCCCTTCCGGTTTCACAGAGCAACAAGTCAGCATCTCTACCCGCACTCATCTGCAAAGTACTAATAGCACTCATCTGCAGGCTCCCCTTGTGTGTTTCCCCTCCGATCCTCTTCTCACTTCGCACTTCTCCCGTCTCTCTATCTATGCCTTCAGTTGCGGGTAAGCGCAGTCCTTCCAATATCGCGTTCTCGAACTCAAAACTCAATTGGATCTTAGAACTTCCCAAGCAGTCATCCACTCGTCGCAAGACCATCAGCAAGTCACTCACCGTCGGCATCGTCGGAGGCGGTATTGGCGGCCTTTACGCGGCCCGTCTTCTTCAACGTGCCGGACATAATGTGCATATCCTCGAGGGTAGCGACAGGATAGGTGGTCGCATTCGCACACACTACTTCACACACGAAGCCGACCAATATTACGAAGCTGGCGCGATGAGGGTATGTGACCTACCGCTCGTTCCGTCGCGCCATAGACTCACATTCCGATAGATACCGCGTTCCGACTTCCACGCACTCACCTTCGACCTTGTGGACTACCTTCAGTCAAGACTTCCTGCGTCTTCAGATAACGCTCTGGAATGGTTGCCTTACGTCCTCAACTCTCAGGGTAACGAGCTCTTAATCAACAACAAGCGCCGCCCCGGCCACTTGCCCTCGGAAACGACGCCTGATCAGCTTGGTTGGCCAGAGTCCGCTATCCCTGCGCCTCATCGCTTCCTGACGGCCAGCACTCTGATGCGTGAGGCCATCGGGCCGCTTGTTTCGAAGCTTGCCGCTGACTTCGATGCCGGTTTTGACGAGCTCCTTCGGTACGACAATCTGAGCTTCCGCCAATACCTGATGAAGTACCACGCATGGTCTTCTGAGCTCGTGGACTTCGTCGAGACGGTCTGCTCAGCCTCTAACCAGTTCCAGCTGAGCACGACGGAGCTTGTTATGCAAAACATCGATTTCGACACACATGAGTGGTCCACGCTCCGTGGAGGTATGAGCCGTCTACCGGCCGCGCTTGCACATCTCGTCGGTCTACGCAACATCACTTTTGGCGCGCGAGTGACCGGTCTGCACGACCTTTCCGACGGTCGCGTCGAACTTGTAGCGATGCGCTCGATCGGCCCCATCCGCAGGACGTTTGACAAAGTCATCCTCGCCATTCCTCCTGCCGCCGTCAAGATGATCTCGGACCGCCCGCGCTGGAGTCCGAAGAAGGTTCGTTCTCATCATCATACATCATAAGCTGCGCGGCTGAACTCCGAATCAGGAACTAGCACTGCGTTCCATGCACTTCGAACCCTTGTACAAGATGGGCCTGCGCTTCAAGACACGCTTCTGGGAACGGGTACAATCTGGCGCTTCGCTCGGCGGCCAGAGCGCTACGGACATGCCCGTCCGTTGGGTCGTGTTTCCCTCCAACGGTATCGGCTCTAAGGGACCTGGTGTACTACTCGTATACTCCTGGTACGTTCTTCTTCGAGTGTAACACCGATCCAAAGCTCATATCATGATGTAGGTTGAGCGATGCACAATCGTGGCTGCCACTTTCGGCGACTGAGCGTCGCAATTTGGCACTGGACTGCCTTGCGCGGATGTTTGATGGCCAAGTCGACGAGGACGGGTCAATCATCGATGTCCGCGACCTGTTCATTGAATCCGCTGACGCGGCTTGGTCCAACGAGACGGCGACGGGCGATGCGATGTTCCTCCCTGGGCACTTCCGCGCTCACTTCCAAGCTGCGTGCCAGCCGGAGGGCAACGTGTTCTTTGTCGGCGAGCACCTGAGCCGGCATCACACTTGGATCGCTGGAGCCCTCGAGTCATCGCTACATGCCGTGCGCGATATTCTCAAGCAGCCGACACTGCCACCGCTTTCCGGACCGAATCCCTTCACCGTATCCAACAAGCGGCGCGGTTCCCTCGAGATGACTCCACCGCCGCAGTACGAGTCCATGGAGGCCGAGTCGTCGATCTCGCTCGCGCCAATCAAAACTTCGTTCGATGCTCTCCAGCTCGGGTCTAGGAAGAAATCCATGCCTTGGGCTGAATCGCCTCTCACGGCCACCCCTCTCACCTTCACGAATGGCGGCGCTATCGACTTGCATAGCGGGCCCGTTAACTGGAACACGGTTAACTGGCAATCGACGGCTTGAACTCATATGGACTGAAAGTATGCGCATGCCTTGTTTCTGACCTCAACTATTTGCCACAACAATGCTTGTAGTCATACCCCCACACTGTCTCTTACCCCATGCAAACCATCACATCCTGTTTAACTTATCCATTTGTAGCCATTAGGACTCTTCATACATTAGGTTTTGTAATGGATCCGGACACACACACACACACATCGGTTGGGGCCTGTATACAACTTCATACATACTCATGTTCAATTAATGCACATTCATTCCACACTCATCTCGATGCGCTCGCCCGATCCGATCTAAGCTGTCGTCAGATAATGGTGAGGGAACCATTCCGGTACCTCCCATTCGCCGGAACCATCAAGCTCAGCGCCCACCATCCGGGCAATCACCTCAGCTCTGCAAGAACGGCGGTCAGATCTCAGGGTCTATACAAAGTCCGGGCACAGATAGAGACATACGCGCCGAACGCCCTTGGCATGCCATGTCCGGAAAACCCGGCTACAACGTACTGGCCTTCATACTTGATGTCCGCTGTGTCTTGAATGGGCCCGACCTGTACAAAGTCCGGTGAGTAAATTCATGGCAGTATCAGAACGGCGGTGAAGTGCCCACATATGGATCCTCCGTAGGAGTATAGCCCATGATACCGGTCTGTCTGGAAGGTTAGAGATTGTAAAGAAGCCGGCTGTTAGATCGGACCACGTACCCATTCGATCTCGGGTTCGCGACCAGCCGCGAACTTCTCCGGGAACTCCTCGGGTAAGAAGTCCCTGAGATACTTGCCGACCTTCGGGTTGACGACCGAATCATCCGTCGTGTACTGTTCGTATGGAGGGTCGGATACTTCACGGCCACCACCAATGATGATGAGAGGCGCCTCTGAAGGATCAGACACGGGACGCGGGAACCAGTACTGGTGTTTCAGCAGGATAGCAGTATCTGTGAGTTCCTCGACGCTCGCGTTTGCCTTGACCGCGATGATCTGGCCGCGAGTAGGGACGATCTCAAATTGCGGTAGAAGATGGCTCGTATACGCGTTGGTAGCGTGCACGACGTAAGAACAGTCGACAGACCCTCGAGGAGTCTCCAGTGACCATTTGCGGGAGGAGTGTTTTGACGCCGCCTTGAACGCGGTAACGGGCGTGCGAGTATGGAGGGTGAGGTTGTAGGCGGGAGAGGCTTCTTTTGCGACGTGGTAGAACTGAGTGACAAGTTTCAGAGGCCATACATTGCTCCCCGGTGTGAGTGCGGCAGGATAAGAGGCGCCATAATTCTGTGGGGCGGTACATACCACTGAGTTTTGCGCATACAGGACACGAATGGTGAGACGAACCTCTTTGGTCTGTTCCTTCGTGAACCATGCGTCTGCAGATACGTTGACGCCAGCGGCCACTGCTTCGTCATAGTCAAGTTTGCCCTCATCATAGAGATCTTGCGTGTAGAACATCGTGAGTCTTCCGCTAGGGTTGAAGTCGACCTTCTTTGCCACGTCGTGTTCAGTGATGAAGTTCCCAATCTCACTGAAGACATGGCGCTCAATGTCTACGGCGCGGATAGCCTCGTCTTTGCCCCAGAGCTCCGTGTTCTTATGGAAGTGGAAGAAGCTGTAGGGGGTGAGGTGTCCACCGTTCCTCCCTGAAGTTGACCAGGCGCGTAAGAGATGCGTCCAACGACATTGCAGGCCAGTATATGCGCACCCGTAGCACCGGAACCTGGAAGAACGAGAGATAAGAGAGTCAGTCAAGAGCTATCCGAGTCATCAATGACCGCTGTGCCTTACAAAAGTCTCTCGCCTCCAAGATAACAGCGCTGACGGGAGTGCCGATAGAATCCGCACCGACCCTCGCAGTTGCAGTCTTCACCAAGTTGGACAGATGATACGCGACAGACGTCCCAGCAATACCGCTCCCAATGATGCAGACATCAGCCTCAGCAGTCAGAGGTCCTTCGCTGCCTTCAGCGGCGAGAGGGTTAGCATCCGCCCTGCCATGAGTCCAGAACGACTTGGTCGGGCCGGAGACGGGAAGTGAGGCGCGCGCGTTGCTTTGGAAGACGATCTGCTCGGGTTCATTCTCCAGAGGCAGTGCAGAGCCGGAGATGGCGAGCGACAGTAGAGTCAGCAGAGACACAAACCTACGGCCAACCCTCGCCGCCATGGTCGTTCAAGAGAGGGTTCAACCAGGCCTATCGAAGGCGTGCTTGCCTTGCAGCCTGCGCATGATGTCAACATGATAGGCGCAAGTACGCCCGAAAGGTCCGATCATCGCATCAGCGCCGAAGCAGTTCATCTTGCACGCAGGGTCGACCAGATACAAAAGTAGTGCCACATCATGCTCAGTAGATAGCGACGCAACACAATGCCAGTGAATGTGAATGGTGAGTTACGTAGGGCTGGGAAAAAGGTGTGGGCACCTGAAGCACGTCCGTCGCATCGACATCTGCAGGATTTGAACCTACGCGGGGAAACCCCAACAGATAGAACGAGTCAAGGTTCGAATCTGTCGCCTTAACCACTTGGCTAAGATGCCTTACCAGTTTGAGAGATATAGAACCCTATGTGCTTTCCTGTCTATTAAGCCTTGCCGCCGTCTGGCTTCACATCGGAAAAGCAAGCAATAGCAATACATCCCAGCCAAACTATACAAACATCACAATTCATCCGCACATCGATGCGTACAATCCGCAACCGGACAAACCCCATGCGATCTCAAACTCACACTCTCCTCTCCCTCTCCGTCCTCGCCATAGAACCACTCCATAACATGCGACGCGTGTCCGCCATGCCTGCACGTCTGACAGAACACGATCGCGTCGTCGAGCGTATCTGTGCCGTTCCCGTATCAGCTCAGCGCCGCTCAAAGGAGTGTAAGAGGGGAGAGCGAATACCTTTGGCCGCGGCGTTGTGGTGCGCGTGTATACCGTCGCGCGTGGGGTCGGGGAGGATGCTGAGGTACATCAAGCAGACCGAGCAGCGCGGTAAGGGGCGCCCACAATGCGGGCACGCCGTATCCTGCAGAACACCCCGCAGGTCAGCTTTAATGACCGATACAGCTGTGAAATAGAGGAAAGGGCACGTACGCGTCCCGTAGCGTGCGCCCCCGGCGGCGCACTCATAGCTTTATTACAGTAATTGCATCTTAGCAAAACCTGCCTCGGCACATTCCCCTCCCTCTTCTCCCTCTTCCCCTCCACATAACCCTCGCCCTCCTCCCTCTGCCCGCTCCCATCGGCAACAGCCATCACCCCCCTATCCACGTCGAACTGTACCCGATGATAAAACAACCTCCACCCATCGAGCAGATCCCTATAACTCTCCACCCACCTCCCGACCCTCCCATCGACCCTCCCCCCAACGCTCGCCGCCAAAAGCGCAGCACTCTGCACGTCCCCCGTGCGGTCCACGTACGCCTGCAGCAGCTCCACGCCCCGCCCGCCCCCTCCGATCCCCGTAACCAGTATCCCGTCCGGATTGCCGCGCGTGCTGGCGGACTCTGCCAGCTGCCGCAGATACCGCGTCAGGGCGGCGTCGTCGAGGAACTGGAGCGCGATGGCGAGGCGCTCGCGCAGGGGCAGGGCCTCCTCCTCGAGCACGTCGCCCCAGTCGCCGAGCGCGAGGTGGCGGAGCATCACGCTGTAGTACGTATCTTCCAGCCGGAGAATCAGCTTGTCGTAGTACTGCTGCAGCGCCGGCGGCAGCCCGCCCCCGCCCGCACCTCCTCCCCCACCTCCACCGGTGACGGCAGACAACGCAGCGACGGTCCCCGCCATCGCCTTGCCCCCCTCGTCCTCGCAATGCAGCAGCATCTCAATAGCGCGCTCGTACCGCCCGCCAAAAACGAGCCACGTCGCGGCCCTGCTGATCTGCCCGTCCGCCTCCCACCGCCGGAGCGCAGCCTCGACGTCGTCGGGGTCCAAGGACCAGCCCAGCATGTCGAGCCCCGCGCGGCGCGATACGAGGTGCGCGGGCGACGTCATGATTTTCGCGGGGCGCCAGCCGGGCTCGAGAGAGAGCGGCGGGTGGCGGGAGAGGAGCGCGGCGGTGAATTCTGCGGGCGGGTCGTCTGTGGCGCGGTGCCGCCCGCGCTTGGAGCGGGAGCGCGTGGGCGACTGCGTATGTGAGGCGTCGAGATGATGCGGGAGAGCTGGGAGGGTCGAGGTCGAGGTTGATGTAGAAGGTACGGTAGGCGGGAAGCCCTCCCAGAGCGCGAGCAAGCCCGCGGAGCGGAAGTCGTACCCGCCGACGAGCGCGGGGCGGCGCCGGGCGTGCGCGGCCCATGTCCATGCCACTCGGAGCATCGTGCTGTCCGTGTCTGCGCCGACGGGGAACAGCGACGCGTTGTGCGTTGGCTGAGTCGCGTCGTCAGCATTGGAGTGGACAGGGAGGGGAGAGAGGAGAGAGGACGCACGTTTCCGAGGCCGTACCCGGCCAGCGCCCGGCTCCGCGCGACCATGCTCACGTCTTCGCACACGAGACTGTGCACCCTCTCGACGGCCCTCCTCCGAGCCCTCCTACCTCCCCTTACTCGACTCCCGCTCCCCTCCTTCCCTCTCCCCGCCCCAACCGACTCCTGACTCTGACTCGGGTCCGTAGAGTCCGCCGCTGTGACGAGCATCGGCGGAGGCTTGAGCAGCGTTGATGTTGATGTTGACGCTGCGGGCGGAAGAGGAAGATCGGGTTTGCCAGCTAACCGCGGTTGCTCGCTCGTCGCTCTGCTTTGAACGAGAGCATTGCGTTTGATATAGGGCGGCAGACCCGGGCTAGGCAGTCGTTTAGGCGAAACGAGCGCCGGAAAGCCGTCCTCGTCGCCCCTCCCAAAAAGTGCTTTACTCCCCTCCTCATCCCTCTCCCTCGTCGCGGCTCTTCGTCCGCTCCTCCCCCTTTCTCTCAGCTCCGCATCACGATGCACAGGCTCGTCGTTCTCCACCCCGTCTACGAAACTCCACGGATGATCGGGGACATCTTCGGTGGGCTGGACACCGCTGAAGACCCGCAGGCCGGTGCCGGTGCTCAGCGAGAAGTGGCCACGGGGCGAGAAGTGCGTGTGTGGTGGTATATGTGGAAGAGTGCTGAGCTCGAGATCGCCGTCTTTTGTCGTACCTAGGATCGTCGTGATCGTTGATATTGGGCGAGAGGAGGGCGATGTGGAAGAAGGAGGAGGAGGGGAAGGGACGAGCGCGAAAGAGGAGAGCGCGCCGCGGAAGCGTTTGCCTGTACATACACCGTTCGTCAGTCAAGTAGTCACCGAAAGCAGTCAAACGACCTCAATGATCGGAACGCTCACTCTTCCTCGTATCAGCCAAAACCAACGAGTACCCCACTCCGCCCGCCGGACTCCCCGGCTCCGTATGCGGCGGCGTCGTCCCCCCTCCACTCCCTCCACTTCCACCCCCTCCACCCCCTCCGCCTCCCGCAGCCCAGGGAAGCATACTGGCAGCACCAGACGTCCAGCTCACTTTCGGCTGTCTCGTCATGGGGTCCCTATCGCGCGTGGCGTTGTTGAGGGCGGAAGACGACGAGGAGGACGGCGAAGAGGAGGTGCGGACGATATCCCATAACCGCACGCACGGCGCGTCGCGCTCGAGCGTGGCGAGGAGCCCGCGTTTGGATGACGAGAACTCGAGGCTCGTGATCGGGCTTTGCGTCTGGCTCGCACCCTGCCCCATCGGCGACGCCGAGCCGCTCGTAAAGGTCGGCACACAGTCCCCCGCGGCGTCGCGCGCCGTAAACGCGACCACCACGCCGCCCATCCTCCGCACATCCCACACGCTCACCGCCCCATCAGCAGCCGCCGCCAGCCTCCACGGATCAAACACGTCCGTAGCGAGCGCGGTGATCCGCCCCACGGGATGCGCAGGCGCGGCGTCTTTCGGGGCGCGCACGTCGAAGAGGCGGAGCCAGCGCGAGGAGAGGGCGGCCGCGAGGATGTGCGGGGAGCCGGGGAGCCAGGCGAGGGCGTGCACGGTTTCGGTCGGGGCGTGGGTCTGGAGGATGCGCGTGTCGGCGCGGGTGGAGGGGGTGAAGGAGTCGTGGCGCGGGAGGGCGAAGGGCGCGCTGGGTGTGTTCGTGGAGGATGCGGCGGAGGGTTTGCGAGAGATCGGCGGGGGTAAGGGAGCGGAGGATCGGACGGGCGAGGGCGGCGGCGCGCTGATCCGCGTATCTCCACCAGTATTATTCGCGAACGACACGCCGAGCGCGGGCGTCGTGCTCGCGATGTCCCACAGCACGAGGCTCGCGTCGCTCCGGACTTTGTCGAGTCCCACGGCGAGCAGGTTGGGTGCTGCGGGACAGAAGGCGAGCGACGTGCACGCGCGGGAGGATTTGGGGGCGAGGTGCGCGTGCGGGCCGCGCGCGGCGATGTGGTCTGTGCCGCGCCGGGAGGATTCGAGGCGCAGGAGCTCGACGCGGCCGGAGGTGAGGCCGACGGCGAGGAGGTCGTCGATGTGTGCGTCGGGCGACCAGGCGAAGCACTGCACATGTTAGATGACGAGTATATAGGAGCAAAGGATGTGCGGGCACCTTCATTAAGGAGAGATCGTGCTGCGAGGCCAGCTGGACTATCGACGGCTCGTCCGACCATTCGTAGAGCGTCACTTGGGACCCGCCGCCGACGACAAACTTGTTCTCGCCGCGCGGGTGCCAGAGGATCTTTCTATCTGCCTGCCCAACCATATTGCGCACCAGTATACTCCGATAGGCAGATCAAAGCAGAAGTAGTAGATTGAGCATGGTATCTAGCGCAGATGGCGGCGCGATGTACGCTCGACCCAACGTCGCGTCTGGAGATAGGGGCCCAATAAACCCACGTGCCCCGCCTCCCACGACATCCATCCATCAAAACTTTTCGCTCCTCGCTCCTCCCTCCACCCTCCCCCCTCCCTCCCC